CGACTGTCGCCTAGACGCAAAATTCATTCTAGCTTTGCCTGTACGCGCTGACGCCAAGCGGCGAAAAAAGAGCGGCAACTAAAAGTGCAGGAGGAAAAGAGGAGCAAGTGCTGCTGGTGCGGAACGAGCCACCCACGCACGCTGCGGGTCTCCGTGACGCAAGCGGCCGGCGGAAGCAGCGGCCACGGAGGGAGCCAGCAATTGGGGAGCAAGCAGGTACATTTGCGGCATCAGCGGGCACTCCGCTACGGCAGCGCACGGCCGCGCAGCAGCTTCTCCACAGCCTGGCATACCTCAGCAGGCGACATGGTTCCCACAAATACGGCGTACACCTCCACCACGCAGTCCCCCGCCGGCTCGTCAGACGCAAAGTCCGGCAGCAGCATCGGGCGCAGCACCAAGTGCGGCAAAACGGCAGCGGGAAGCCTCCCGCGTGCGTCGAGGGAGCCCCAAAGAAACGCCGCGGCTCCTGAGGTTGCAAAAGAGGCGATGGGATAATTTCAGGACGCACCGGCGTGGATGACGGCCATCCTCATCGCCATTCTCCGCCGACGCACACAAAAACTGAGGACGCCACCGAGTCCCCGCAGGAGCCGACAGCCAGCGCCGGCGCCTCGTTGATCGCACGACTCCACAAACAGCTTCGCTGACGCGTGCTGGGGGGTCTATTCTGGCGCAGTGTCGCAGCGGCGCTTTGGTTGGCTGCGCCGCATCGTCACGCAGTCAACAGAGCCCCCAAAAGTGTCAGTGGTGTTAGCCACCGCCCCGAAAGTAGAGGACCCACCTCCTCAGGGAACCCATCTCTCCCTCAGATACGCAGTTGTTCCACTGGCAGTCTGAGCAGACCAGGCATTGTTTTGTCCTGTCTGCTTCAAGGTGTGTGCGCCGGGCGAGCATCTGCGCGAGAACACGCATTGTGATTAGACACCGTGGCCTCAGCAAGGCGCAGGCTCTAAGGACGGCCAAAGGGCCCCTGGCGGACGCGCCGGAGGGGCAAAATATAAAAAAAAAACGTGTGCCCGAAATGCAGCTTCACGACAACTGGTGGGGAGGCGTTTCGGGTGTGCACATGACGACAAAGCATGAAATACGTTCGCCCCCCAACTGCGGATGCGATTCGCGAGGCCCTTAGCGCACTGCGCGCGAGAACCTCGTATTCTCCACAGCCCCGGCCGCCGCTGCGAGAGCGCGTCAATCTGCGCGTCCTCCACCTTTGCCACTGAGCGCAGAACAGAGCGCCCACGCTGGCAGATTCCGCGGCAGGGGCGGGCCAAGGTGGAGAGCCACGCCGTGGTTGTTGAGAAGCAGCTTGTGCGAGGGGGCACGCTGGGGCGCACCCTCTGCGGCCTTCGCGGCCGGACGAGCCAAATGCGGCCTGGAGGGATCGGGTGGCCCGACCCCTACTTTAGCAAACGGCTGGCTCAGTCCCAGTGCGGCCCAGCCAAGTCCTGATCGGGCCTCGCCCTGCAACGAAGATGCGGGTGATGCCGCCAGTGCGTCGGAGGAGGGAGCGGCATCGGCTTTTTAGTTTACTTTGCTTCGCCTCGCTTTCAAACTGGGGCTCTGACACGGCGGAATGCGTCTGGAAGAGCATGCGTTGCGGCCGCTCCGCTCCTAACACATCTTTGGGGACGGCTCCGGCAAGGGCGCTCGAACTCAGCTTCTACTATCCTAGCAGAAAGACAAAAATGCCATCTTCACAATCTTCCTCAGGAAGGCGATGCAGCTACACGTGTGCAGAGACACAGTGGCCAAGAGAGGAAGCAATCGTAATGATGGGCGGTCATGCGGAGCACGCGCGGCGGGGAAACAGAGAAGCGCAGGGAGAGAAAGAGAGAGCGCAGAAGAGGCGGAAATTGTCAAGGGCCCTGCTGCTGGCAGCGGCCGAGGGGGAACTCGACGCATCCGCAAACCAACAAAAAAGAGCGCTGTGGAGGAGGAACGCCGCGAGGGTTCACCGCCGCCGCACACCGGCACTTCTTCCACCCCCGTCACCTTCCCTCCCCTTCACCGTCACTGTGCGCTGCAGCCCGCACGTGCCGCCGCCGCCGCCGCAGGGGCACAAGGCCGGCCCCTTCTGTTGCCCCACACGCGGGCCCTGGCCCCCCCCCCCCATCGCGTGTTGCTGCTGCAGGGGAAATTGCCGCACCCGCAGGCAGCCGGGAGGAAAGCCCCACGCAGACGCTAGGAAAAGGCGCGACGGCACACAGCCGCTATGGCGACGCCCAGCGCCAAAGTTATTGCTGCATACATGTACGCCAACCGACGATGGCCG